GAGATTGTTTTTAACTCTTATCCATGGGAGTGCCCCTTAATGTCATCCGTGTTTTTTTCCCCTTTCCTTACCATATAAGGGCAGAAGTTTAACTTGGCTGTAGTGACTTGGGTCTTACACAGTAAACTGGGTGAAACTTTCTCTGTACATCTATAGTTCGCATGAAATAAAAAGGCCTGACCTTTGATCATCCCATGCAGTACTCCAGTTCAGGTAGGACTTTGAACATACATTCTAGAGGATTTAGTTTTAGGATATAATATTATTCTCCTACAATTATTTCTTCTTAATTGTCCTAACGGAAATACTTGTTTTTAAAGTAAAAATCATTGCTATTTTTAAATTGCCTTTGGTTATATTGGCTAGAACACCTGGATTTCATGAAAATCTAGGCCCTGTAAAAGTTCTCTTTCAAGTCAGACTTGGAGTAACATTTTGCTGTATTGTGTGGGCATGCCCTTGCTATCTATTGTAGTTTCTTAGGTAGCTGGTACCTTGTGGAAGGGATTGGGGGGCACATGCAGCTCTAAGGCACACATGTAGAGCGCCTGGTGGTTGTTTAACAACAGATCTGCAGGAAGACAGTTGGTAACCTTTACTAATATAGCAGTCTCTTTTCTGAGTAGTTCATTACATGTTGGGACACAATAGCACTTTTGAAATGAAAGAAACTAGCATCCCAAAGACTTCACCAGCAGTGTCAACACATGAGCTGTTGTTAGAAGCTAACCCAGTACACGTGGGTGACTTCCATGCCTGGAAATAATTTGCGTCTGGGGTCTTGACCCTTCCCAAATGCCTTGTTATTTATATCTGCTTTTTAAATAACAGATGGTCATGTGTCTGTAGGGTTTGTACTGACAGGCAACAGCCAGTTAAGTCTTAAGTAAACTGCCCAGGTGCTGTGATGGAAAGAACCTTAGAAAATATCTAAATAAGCCTCAGAACTCAGAGAATACATACCGGGGATAAAAGCTAGTGCAGGTGAGAGATGTGGGCCTTTTGAACATAGAGCATAATCCACCCCCCCCAAAAACAAAAGTGAAAATAAGGGTGTCCTTAATTAATTTATGGAATTGAATATATCTTGAATTCTAGAGAACCAAACTAAATTGCGATCAGACCAGTATGGTGAGGCCTGAGAAGCCAGTGAGAGCCCAGGTTTTTCCCGGGGGAAGCTTATGTAGAGATCGATACACCCCAGACACTGCTTTCAGATCTGGGCTGTTACCTACAAGCACCTTTGCCCATCCTGCTCTGAAACCTCTGGGGCAGCAGGCGTTGGTTTCTGGGATTGAGAACAAATGCTCTGTGTCCTTGTGTGAGCTGGTACCCCCTGGTGTTACTCGATGATGTTTTCAATTTTATACGACACCTTTTTTCCAAATGGATTGAGAGGACTTGTTCAGCGGATGATATTCAGTACAGTAGCCGTTCTTCTAGTCCTGGTTAGGTTCTTTCGCTGAAGGCCTTTTTTCAGGTAGGGGGTTGGAGTCAGGGTGGCTGTAGAGAACCTGCTGCTCTGACGTCAGAAAGCAGAAAGACTCCATAGGTGAGAACCACCAGTTCCAGGGCTTCCACGAGGCTCCAGGAGGCCTTGAGAAGGGAGGCAGGCATGCCAGCACGTGAGGACCAGGGGACTTTGGTGCTAGTCTTACCTGCCGCTGATGGCTGTGACCTGAGCATGTCAAAGATCCCTCCCTCTTCTATTCTCTTTTCTACAAAGAGCTAGATGAGTGGTTCCCACAGGATTTTCCAGCTTCTTTGGACGGTGGGTGGGGTAGAGGGGGGGTTGCTTTTTTATAGTGCAGATTCCTGTCCTCCTTTCTGACCTCTTGAATCAGAATCTCTAGGGATGGGGCCTGGAAATTTGTTTTGTTTTTTTAAATTTTTGGCTGCATTGGGTCTTTGTTGCTGCGCGCAGGCTTTCTCTAGTTGCAGCCAGCGGGGGCTGCTCTTCGTTGCTGTGCATGGGCTTCTCACTGCGGTGGCTTCTCTTGTTGCGGAGCACGGGCTCTAGGCACACGGGCTCAGTAGTTGTGGCGCACGGGCTTACTTGCTCCGCGGCATGTGGGATCTTCCCGGACCAGGACTCGAACCATGTCCCCTGCATTGGCAGGTAGATTCTTAACCACTGAACCACCAGGAAAGCCCGGAAATTTGTATTTTTAATATGCATCTCCTGGTGAATCTGGACACCCAGCCAGTTGTGGGAACTGCTGGACAATGCCTAGGGACCCCTCCAGCTAAACATCTTAGACCCCGTTTTGTGGACCACCCACAGGTCTGTTTTCTGTGTTGCCCCTGTCCTGGCTCCTAGAACAGGTCTCCATTCCCAGTTGTTGTTCTGGTGCCGTATACGAGGCCTATTGACTGGTATTTCCGTAGGGCACAACCCCTAATGTAGGTTCTACAAAATGCTCCTGGGGAAAAGGAGTTAATGACATTTATAAAACAGTATCCAGAGCTAAGGGAAAGAACGGTTAGAGTGGAGGCAATAAGAGGGAAGAGGGAAGATTTGGATTGATGGGCGTCCCTCTCAGGTACGGAGATCTTTTGTGCAGAGGCAGGAACGAATATGGGGTGCTGTCTCCTTACTCTCTGATGCCCCAGGTGTGTGGGAGGCCAGGGACCCGGACTGGCCTGGCACCTGGAGGGTTCTTTCCCCGGAGTATAAACAGTCTCCTCTCTGTGAGTACAAAGTCCTTGAGGTTGGGGCCCAGATCGAAAACAGAACAGGAAGCTTAGAGTGTGGTGGCTACAGAAATTGTTTTGAAAATCTTGTTGACATTTCTCTGGCTGCAGCACCTATAACAAGGATATTTAAGAAAAGGGGGAAAAATACTTCTGAGTACATGACCTAGACACTCTGCTGAGGTTTTTTTGTTGGTGGTGGTTTGGAGGGTGGTTTTTGTTTTGCTTTTCATTTCAGTTTTCAGCTTTCAGGGTTGCTTGCTTGTTTTCCCCCATTCATGAAATGAATAGAATTTTACTAGAAATGGAAAATATAGAAAAGAAATCTGACCTGATCCCAAAGTATACCCTTAATGTATACCTCCTTCCGGTTTTGTTTTGTTTTGTTTTGTTTTTTTACATGGGGCTAAAAACTTTTTAAAGTTTCTATATTTAAGAAATGTGTTATCCCTATTACCCTCATCCCTCCTCCAAAAAACTCCCAACATTCACCTGCCAGACCTGGTGGAGCCCATTACTAGCTGTGTACCTTCAGTGATCTACTTTGTGGGCCAGTGCAACTGTTAACTGACCTCGGATTCATTTCACATTTTCCCCTGCTCCCTGCCTTCATCAGCCAATTATTACTACATAGTTAATTGTGTGTGTGTGTGTGTGTGTGTGTGTGTGTGTGTGTGTGTGTGTGTGTGTGTGTGGTACGTGGGCCTCTCACTGTTGTGACCTCTCCTGTTGCAGAGCACAGGCTCTGGACGCGCAGGCTTAGCGGCCATGGCTCACGGGCCCAGCCGCTCCGCGGCATGTGGCATCTTCCCGGTCCGGGGCACGAACCCGTGTCCCCTGCATCAGCAGGTGGACTCTCAACCACTGCGCCACCAGGGAAGCCCCATAGTTAATTTTTGAAGCGATAAAAGTGTATTTGCATGTTTTTATAAAAAGTCCTTCACCGTGATTGCAGATGCCCTAATCACCTCTCTTTCCCAGAGAGAACTTGACTTTTAAAATTTTACAAATCTAGATGAGCAAAGAGCAGAATGTTCTCGTGTTCCTTTACTTCAAGGCCATAATCGTAAACTCTAACTACATGTGCATTTCAAACTGTGTATCATGGGTCCAGAAACTAAAAAAGTTGCTTTTGTTTAAATTAGGTTGGTTTTACTCATTTTGTTCAGTAGACCTTTACTGAGCCCATACTCTGTGCAGTGAGTTGTGATTCCTTGCACATAAGAAGCTTACAGTTGAGTAAGGAAGACAGGACTGTAGGTAGAGAGCTAGCATAGTCCCAAAGTGCATGTTGTAGTTTTTAGAAAACTTCCAAGTGTCCTAAAAACCCCATCACCCCAGGAAAAGGACACATTCAGAGTGGATGAGGAAACAGTACCAGATTAACAAATTCTGTCTTTCACTTAAGTGCATAATGTTTAAACAGCCATCAATGCAAGTGTATGTAATGGACCGGTCCAGGCTTGCAAGTGTGCTAAGGCTTATAGTAACAAATGCTCATAACTGTAGGTAACCATTGCGTCCCCCAAAAAGAAACATCTTATTTCAGAGATAGATACCGAGTAAAAACAGTATCTGTACTGCTTTTCTTCTAAGGAGTTTGAAGCTCTTTTTGTAGCAACCTTGACTTGTGAGAAATTCCTGTAGGCGTATGTCACAAACGCTTGGGAAATTTGTCTTGGCCCTCTTCCAGTGTGACCAGTTATTCTAAAGGGGTGCTGAAGGGCAGGGGGCTTGCTAGTTTTTGCTGTGTCTCTGTATGGTGTATATTTTAGAACCACTGAATTTAAAAATATTTTAGTTCCTAAAATATTTAATAAAGCCCCTTTGAGAACACAATCAGCAGAAAGGAGAATTGAGACTCCTGAGTCCGAGTCCTCGCTGTGCTGCTCTCGTCTTGTGTGACTGAGCCTGGGTAAGTCCCATCGCCTCTGTCCACACCTCAGGCCCCACCGAGTGAGGTGGCTGTGATGAAGCTCCCCCTTAACAGGCAGGTAAAGCCAGCTTGTTGAAATCCGTGGAGGAAGAGAACCAAATGAGAGAGTGTTGCTGATGGTCGCTTTGTCTGATGAGGATGGTGTGTGTGGATCTGCATATACCCCAAGGTGGACATTCACTGGGTATGTCAATGGATGAACGTATCCGACAACTCCAGAGTTGACCAGGGCTTGTAACACACTTTAGGGTGGCTCACCACAGGGCCCAGGCTTCCCATCTGGAACCAGTGTTTCAGTCTCAGCCCCTCCTGAAGGCACTACCCTCACTTTCTCTCCGACACTGAAACGCCTTTCACTCTCTCTATCCAGGCTGAAGCCGACGTAGCTTCTCTGAACAGACGCATCCAGCTGGTTGAGGAAGAGTTGGATCGTGCCCAGGAGCGTCTGGCAACAGCTCTGCAGAAGCTGGAGGAGGCCGAGAAGGCAGCAGATGAGAGTGAGAGGTGAGGACCCCTCGCCCAGCCCACCTGTTAGCACAGCCTTTCCTCCTGGTGGGACGGGAGGGCTTCTCTGATCTTGGGCCTCTAAGAATTTTACAGTACCTTGGTGGCACTATTTCCTGACTTGATCCAGGTGCAACTAATGGTTTTGTTCATTTAACATTAGTGGGACACCTTTGTGCAAAGCACTGTTTTAAACCCCAAGGTTTCAAATAAGAAAAAGACGCCATTCCTGCTCTCTTAGAGCTCACCACCCAGCGAGGGAGATGGACGTGTAAACGGGAGGTTTTAGGGATGTGTTTTGGTTCTTTAATTCCTAATGACCATGGAGCAATTATGCAATTTTTTTAAAAAGATAACTTTATTTAAAAATATACCAAGGAAGCCGCGTAGCACAGGGAGATCAGCTCGGTGCTTTGTGACCACCTAGAGGGGTGGGATAGGGAGGGGGGGGGGGAGGGAGACGCAAGAGGGAAGAAATATGGGAACATATGTATATGTATAGCTGATTCACTTTGTTATAAAGCAGAAGCTAACACACCATTGTAAAGCAATTATACTCCAATAAAGATGTTAAAAAACATGAAATATACCAAGGAGGCTTAGGCCGAGGTAAATACAGTATGGGCTGTCAGTTGTCAAAGAGCCCAAGAAATGAGAGGAAGAGAAAGCACAGATAAAACAGAAATACGATCCACAAAAGTAAATTGTTTTGGACTTAGTAAAGCCGATAAGACACACGTGCATAGGTAAGTACAGTCAGATCTGCATGTCTGCTGAGCATGCTCCCACTATGACCTGGCTCTACCTGACTTATTACCCCAAGATTCAGCCTTGTGGTAGTAAAGGAAAACCAGGGCCATATCAGCCATCGTGTATTCCACCAGGCATTTTCTCTCATGTTCAACTGTTCAAGTTATTGTACTCAAGTTATTGTACTCATATTACTTGGAAGCACTCCAAGAAAGACTCCACAAGACTAGAGAGAGTTCTGCCCTTCGAGGGATGACAAAGTATTGTGATGTCTCAGACGCTGGCAGTGTGTTTCTGCGCTGTGACCTGGGCAGGTGCATGCAGTCAGTCATTTTGTCCATTTCTCCGTCTTTGAGGTGCATTTCTGCCCCCTGCCACCATGGATAAAGAATGATTTCAGACTTTAGGATTAAAGAAGCTCTTAAGCTGAAGTTTTCAGCTCATTATTCACTGTTGATTATTGATTCTTTTCTAATCAAGAGTTTTGGAATTCTTAAAGATGACTCTCATCTCTTACAGTGTACATATAACCAATGGTTTTGTGGCTGGCTTCTTCCTGAAATACCCTTGTTAGTGAACCTGAAAGGAAGGCAGTCTGGCAGTGTTAGACATTGGAGTAAAAAGGTATTTAGAGATCATTTACTCCAGTCCCCTGGTTTTACAGATGAGGAGACTAGGGTTCAGAGACTGGTATGGCCTGCCCGAACTCTCAAAGAGAATTTATGGCCGAGCCAAGATGCAGGTCTCCTAAAATACACTGTAGTGCTTCATTTAAAAAAAAAAAAAAAAAAATAGTGACTTATTTATCTTACTGCCTACTTAGATTTTGGTAAATGAGTCCCGTTTTAACACAATTTGTTATTGCATAAATCTGTAATATAGGTCAATTAACATTTTCTAAAACTTACCACCATGCTGAAGGATCCAAACGTATACATCAGCATAGAAGATGGTGTTGGTCCTGCCTCTCAACACCTCTATTATGAGTTTTATTATAGGCAAAACTCAGTTTCTTCTCTAAAATATAGGTCAACCCACATGAAATTGCCGTTTTTGCAGGTCCGATGTGGTCAAATACCAGCAATTTCATTTGGTTCAATCTAATACTTACATTTGTGGCTAAAGGGGTAAGAACAGCTACTTTCTTTGTGGGAAGGAAGTACATGAAGATAAGTTTGCTTTTGTTCTAACTTTGGTCCATTTTTAAGCTGAAGCTTCCCACCAAAAAAGGGCAGAAGTCCCATTATTTATATAGCAGGTAAAGCTTGTTGACCTTTCTTGATTCCATGCCTCCCACATTCAAACAGTATCTTCACATGGTACCTTTCATTTCACATTAGCTGCCTGGACAGTGTCAACAGTACCAAAAGTGTAACCTTTCATTCACAATAAACAGAGAGAGGGAAGTGTATGTCTTTTCTGCCTTCAGCTCTGGAAAGTCTTGTTTCATGGTTTGGAAGATAAAAGTAGCTCTGTGCTCTGTTTCGGTCTGTCAGTTACACTGAGCCTCACAAACCACTGTGGTGCAGGGTGAGTTTGTGGAGGTCGCCTCTAAATCTTGGGCCTTCCTGCATGTTTTCCTTTTCAGAGGCATGAAAGTCATTGAAAGCCGAGCTCAAAAGGATGAGGAGAAAATGGAAATTCAGGAGATCCAACTGAAAGAGGCCAAGCACATCGCTGAGGATGCCGACCGCAAGTATGAAGAGGTCAGATCCTGGGGCCCAAGGCCTTGTGGACTCCCAGCCGCGGGGGCCCAGGAGCGGGGGAGCAGTGTGCAGCCTTGCGTTCTTCAGTGAAACCATCTGCTTCCTTAGCAGAAATGGGTGGTTTTGAGAAGCAGAGTTCCTTTGTCCCCAGAAAACGGTTCTCAATTTTGATCCTGCTAGGGCATCAGTTGCACTGGGAAAGACCAAAGCTTTTTTTGTGCCCCCATGCCTCCCCCCACCCCCCGCCCCAAACACACACACAAAGACCAGGACAAAAGTTCTCTGGTCAGGAGAAGGGAGAGTTGGGCCTCTTGTGTTTTGTGGAAGGGACCTCTCATGCTGTCACCACACAAGCAGTTCTCCCTAGTGTGATTCACCTGGCACAGCCCAGTTCAGTCAGTGTAGAGACACAGACCATGCACTTGCTCCCTAGATTCATGGAGGCCTTTCTGTCTGTCCTCCTCTCTCCTCAGGGTTCACAGGTGAATCACCTCCTGGTCATGCCCCATGAAAGCAACCTCCTGTGTGATAACAGAGCCCATATGACTGTGTTAAGGTTTTAGTTTTTCCCTTAATGTACTGTGGCTATCCTGAAACAGCACTGACTCTTCGTCATCATCATCTCCCATCTCCAGGTTACACTATGCCCACTAATTTTGAAATGCTTCCTAGGATCCCTTCTCTCTGGTCCTTTCTTCCACTGACCTCATTAGTCACCTCAGCAGCTTCTCATGTCAGCCTCTCTTGCTGTTTCTCTTGGCATTTGTAGCCTGCTGCACACAGAGGGAGTCGAGGTACAGAGCTCTAGATGGATGGAGTTCTCAGGATTATTTTCAGTCTTGTCTTGCAGCCCCGCCTTTTCAGCATAAAAGGCGTATGTCTCATCACACTGCTAGTTTGGAGATTGTGGACTTCATCTCTCTCCCTCCTTCCACACTTGGTCTGGCTGCTATGTAATTATACAGGCCTCACCTAGGTAGGACTAAAGATGAGCCAGCCCACCCATAACTGACCACGCTGGGTCTTGGTGAGCAGAAGCCTCTGGTCTCCTCTCCATGGGCACGCCTGGTGGAGAGTCGCTTCTCTCCAGTGCACGGGAAAGAGGATCATCTTGTTTGGAGGCAAGGACTCCTAGGGGATGACGGATCCAGTCCTCACCCCACACCCCTCCTCAGAGCTTGGAAGCCCCATGGTGTGTGTGTTTTGTGTTTGTTCTGCTGCAGGTGGCCCGTAAGCTGGTCATCATTGAGAGTGACCTGGAGCGTGCAGAGGAGCGGGCTGAGCTCTCAGAAGGGTAAGCGGGCCCGGCGCCAGGAGGCTGTGTGTGGGGTGCTGCGGAGCAGTGACTAAACAGCATGACCTTCTGGCAGCTGCACATTTACCTGTTTCAGCTCCGGGCTCCTTAAGTGCTCATTTGATGTGGATGAGCCACGAGTATGGAACACGGAGGACTTGCGTGGGGTGTCTGTGTATGAATGCGTGTATCACTGCATGCCTTACCTGCACACTGATTTTGAGAATGGCCTTGTGCATTTCCTGTGTCCACTAACAGCCAAGTTCGACAGCTGGAAGAGCAATTAAGAATAATGGATCAGACCTTGAAAGCATTAATGGCTGCAGAGGATAAGGTACTGATGGCTCATGTGTGGGTTTTAGGTTTAACTGCAACCCAGGCGTCTTTCAGCTTCCAATGCCTACTGGTTCATTTTTATAACGACTGCACCTTCACTACACCCTCTGCTATCTTATACCTTGCTTTAAGTGCTTTCTTTGGGTCCTTTATACTCCTTTGTTTTTCCTTCATAAATGCTCTTTGGTGCAGCCAAAAAAGAAGCCAAATTATCACACTTCACGGTTGTTGGATTTTGTCACCCTGCCTTTCTGCTGTTGGAAGGTCAGGAGCAGTGTCCATGGCAAAATTGAGCGTTTTAGTACCTTGATGATTTGGCTACTTTAAGGCAGCCCTTTGTTCTCTAGGACTCGGTTTTCATTTTTTCCCATCCCTCTCCTTTTTCTCTCCTCCTTCCTTTGGCTTGTCTCCCACCCTTTCTACCTCTGATCGAAAACGTTAGCAAATGTGCCGAGCTTGAAGAGGAGTTGAAAACTGTGACGAACAACTTGAAGTCACTGGAGGCTCAGGCTGAGAAGGTAGGCCAGGAGCACGGCGTGGGGGAAAGGCTTCTTTAAGAGCTGCTCTAGAGACACCCCCTTTTTCTCTTCTGGGACCCTGCCAAGGAAAGGAGTAATCTATTAGACACTTTAGCAAATGGCGTCATTTTGAGGCAATTTCCTGATGATTATCAATAACAGATTCTTTTTTTTTTTAATGGAGAATCTATTTTTTTTTAGTATGTGAGTCATCTGTAACAATTTAATTTAAACCAAGTGCCAAATGGGTAAGTTATCTTGTTCTTATCCCATGTAAAACAATAGGCAGGAAAACAGAGAATGCATTGTTGTATGCCATTTGATATCAGAGGCTCCATTACCTCCTAAGAGATCCTCAACATCTGTTGGCTGGGCTGACACTTTCGTTGTATTAGAAGACCTCAGTATAGGGTGAACTATGGCCTGACATCTGGAACATTCTTTCTAATTACAGTACTCGCAGAAGGAAGACAAATATGAGGAAGAGATCAAGGTCCTTTCTGACAAGCTGAAGGAGGTAATATTAAGGGTGTTGTGGACAAAGCCAGCTGGATTGAGTTTGTTTTTACGGCACTGTTCAGGGCTTTTTCATTTTAAAGTTAGAATGATCCAGGGATTTTCAGGGGTGGTCTTGGAGAGTGAGCTGTGCTCGGCACCTCTCACTGTGGTGACTGACTGGCAGGTGGTCTCAGACCCCATTCCTGGGTGCCAGGCTTGATTTTCATTCTCTAGTTTCTCTATATTTGTAGCTACTGGAAACCTAAAACTTCCCAATTCTGATTGAAATAAATTGAATTATTGCAGGCCGAGACTCGGGCCGAGTTTGCAGAGAGGTCAGTAACTAAATTGGAGAAAAGCATTGATGACTTAGAAGGTAAGATCTTAAGTTTTGTTTTTAACTTAATCCTTATGGCTGAGTAGTGACCCGGCAAAGTCATTTTCCAATCATTGCGTCCTCCTTGATACACTTCTTTGCTCTTGCACATTCTTCCTGTCTGCCCTTTGGGGTTTTCATTCTGTGGCTCTTAAACTCTCTGTTCACCAGATGACCGTTAGCCACCAGACGGGGCCCATCTCTTTTTGTAACAGCAGATGCCAAACGGCTCTACTGCACACTCTTCAGAAGTGTGGCAGGTTTATTTCTCACTCTGAGTGAGGTGGTCATAGGTGAGAATGACTGGTGTGTTTTCTGTCTTTAAGTGGTATCTCATTATTGCCAGAATGGTATGGATTTGTTTTTAGGCACAACTTGTCTTCCCCCAAGTGCGAATTCAGTGTAAGGGTTTGGATTTTTTTTTTTTTCAAGTTACTAATTCTTGGCATGTGCTGTGTATCCTGACAGGGGGATGGAGGTTAATAGGGCACTACACTTTGACATTATACTTCAGCACTTCTCCACTAAGATATTTAGGTTTTATTTTAGTGACACCCTCTCTGTCTCTCAGAAATCCTAAATGTTGAGCTCTGAGGCTGTGAAAAAGAAAGAAAAAAATATATAAAATATATACATCAAAGGCAGAAGTGGCTAGAGAAGGAAGGGACTGGAGGTTGGTGCAGATGACAACCAAGCTGGTGGGAAAGAGAAAATGACAAATGGTTGCAAAGCAATCTGCCAGATTGCAGCAGAGTATGAAACCTTCATCATCAGAAGAACTGAATTGCAGACTTGGCACGGCAACACCATAAAAAGTGTGGCTCTCCTCGCTTTTCAAGCCTCCTGGACCAGCCAGGGCAGCTTGAGTGGGCAGACCACAGGAGTAGTCTGGATGGCACCCAGAAATCCATACCCCAGTGGTCTAGTTTGGTCCAGAAGTCAGTGGTTTCAGGGTGGAGCCAGATAAGGATTACAGACTGTAGTCACAAATTGTTTCTTCAAAACAATGCCCTTGGATATTTTTTCCACTGTTTATAGTGGCAGGTGGCTGACTACTCCAGTGTAATTAAATTATAGCTCTATAAAAGAAAGATGTTCTATTACCCCTCTCCCAACCAGGAGACAGCCTTGTGTGGTTTCGTTCAGGGTTTAACATGGTTTACTGATATACCTGCCGTATTTGTTATGATTTTCATATTGAGTTTCTTGTTTTATTTTCTAATGGGTTTTGTTCTTTTTGTTTTTGTTTCAATTTTATTAAAAACAAAACGCACGCCTCCTGCATTGGCCACCTGCTGCGGCACCAATTCCTTCATGCATTGCCCTTTTCTTGCTGCTGTGTCGGGATGGTGTCCATGCCACCCTCACTCACCCTCCATCTCTTGATCACTCTCCATGTCCTTGCACCTCTGCCTTCCAATTCCTGGTCATAGACGAGCTGTACGCTCAGAAACTGAAGTACAAAGCCATCAGCGAGGAGCTGGACCACGCTCTCAACGATATGACTTCCATGTAAATGTTCATCCACCCTGCCTGCTCACACCCGTGCCCTCATGCTAATATGATAAATTCGCCACCACTCCCTTCTGTATCTCCAGAATCTCCGTCTTTACACCTTTATGCTCACTGTCTTTGCATAATCTAGGATAGTCATTGTTTTTTCACATTCTACTAACATAAAGGCCAAGTAGATTGTCTGTCTATACAAAACCATTTTCCTTTCAGAATCCATTTATTTCACATTGTCTCAGCTAGATTGTTCCCATGAAGCAGTGAACTGGAATATGTGTGACTTGGGCACTGTCCTTTTAGGAAATTAAACTAGGCTCAAGTAGAATTGGTAGGCCACGCAATTGTGCAGGAATTTCCCAAGAAATATCAAAAGGCGGTTTCCTGAGATTCAGTTAAATACAATGTGAACATTTTTCGTAAAAGAAATAATAAATTTAAGGAACCCAACACTGTCAGATGACTGAGGCTCTCAGAGAAGGGAAATTGATCCAGAACAGCATAAAGAATGTTGCTGTAAAAAGTCACATTTTCCTTTCAAGGCTTCTAGACAGAAATGAACCCTCTGCCGGGTAGCCAAGCCTTTAATTTTCTGTTTATATAAAAGAATTAACATACAAACACCACAACCTGTGTCAAAGAAATAGGACATAAAACACAGATTGTGTTATATGAGTTTGGGAGTTAATGGCCCAGCTTTTACTACTGCTGGGCAGTAAGAGTGGAGTAGGTAGTCTTAATCTCACGAGAACCTGGAGCATACACGACTAACTTACATATTACTAACCAAACCTGAATGTGAAGCTGGTTCTGCCCCTCTAAATTCTAACCTGGAATGTTTCACAGAGGCTTCCTTTTAATCTCAAAAGATGGCACTGAATTCCACGTAAGCTGGAAATTTCAGTTTCCTGGCCCACCTGTCATTCCTTTACCCGTGCAGAAAAATGGTAGCTTGAAGAGTGTTGGCAAGTGTCTGCTGCCTTATAGATTATAGAATCGCCACACTACCCCTTGAGACATGACTGTCACCGTGGAAACTAGAGAGAATTCCATCCTCTCTTCCCTCATTTGTAAATGAGGGGATGGATCAGATCATCTGTCTCTCAGTGCTAAAATGTGGTGATTCTATGAGAAAAACTTTCAGCATTAAGTATGGTTAAATATTCTGAAAGGTGGGTTTAGCTTAAAATCTGTTTTTAAGTTCTGTTCATGGGTCTTTTGCAATGAAACTCCCCCAGAAGGGGCTTGTGCTGGCCTCGGGTCCAGACACTGGTGGGCAAGGATTGACATTGTCCTGTAGGTGCGGCTGGCAGCGGGTTTTGCATGTCTGCTTCTTACCTGTGTTTCAAGTGCTGCTCTCATCTGTTAGTTTAGCGTCCCTGTTTTCCGTTGTGCCACTTTTTTCCTTTTTCTCCCACCTTTTCTCTTCATGCAGATAAGTCTCTTTGCTTCACTTCTCGCACGACCCCTTCATCAAGCTGGATGTCCCTCCTCTCTGAGTTCTGCAGTTTGTCTGTTCTCCAGCTGACCCTGGTTCTTTCTTTCCACATCCTGCCTTAGGGCCAGGCACACACTGTGCTTCCTATTGTACAGAGGCTCCTCATTGCAGTGTAAAATAAACACTGTGTAAGCTATTTCTGTTTGCTATTCTTTTTACTTCTTATTTATTGACATTTTAGTTTCAACACTGAATAAAACTCCAAATCTTCATCACACATATGAGGGTTAATTTTTGGCTGCTGCTTTGGTCTTTTTTTTTCCCCCCCGATTCTGAACATCATACATTAATACCAAGAGACTCTAAAACAGTAGTTTCTTGCGGAACTTTTAAAAAAATACCCATGCCTGGGTCCCTCTCAGAGTTTTGGTTTGCAAGGGTTAGAGTGAGGCCTGGGCATGTGTGTCTTTTTAGGGATTGAGATGGCTCTGGTATGTAGTACGGGTTGAGAACCTCTGCACAGGGGATGTTGCTTGTTGGAGCCGGAAGATCTGCCTTGAGCAGTGCCTTCCTCTGCCAGATGTTTAGTTGGGATGTGGTGAGCCCTCTGTGTTGGTGTTTAGATAGTCCTGCTTGGGAGGGTGTGGCTGCCACCCCACATTGCTAGGAACTTACATATCAGAAAAGGTGAAAAGGAATGTGGATTCAAACAGTGTAAGTTGAAGTTATCGTTGATCATCCTTTTACAGCACAAAGAACAGTTAAAGCTTTTTAAAAGTATATTCATTCCTCAGCCACCTGCATTTTGATCATGAAATGACATTCTTAGGTTTAAGGAACATACGATTATGTTCAAGTCAAGATTTATTTTTGTGCTCTTAAGCGCATCATGTATTCTTTAGGAGGGGTTGTACTTACAGTAAATCTTTGTGGTAATTAACTTATTTTTTTTTTTTTGTGAACATCTTTAAAGCATAGCCATTAAAGTTGGTTCTTTTTTTTTTTTACCCCTTAAAAATAGTAGAGGGCTTCCCTGGTGGCGCAGTGGTTGAGAGTCTGCCTGCCGATGCAGGGGACACGGGTTCGTGCCCCAGTCCGGGAAGATCCCACATGCCGCGGAGTGGCTAGGCCCGTGAGCCATGGCCGCTGAGCCTGCGCGTCCGGAGCCTGTGCTCCACAACGGGAGAGGCCACAACAGTGAGAAGCCCGCGTACCGCAAAAAAAAAAGTAGAAATTGTTCAGTTATAGTTTATCAGTTATATTTATAAATTCAAAACCAGCAATTAAGTGATTTTTTTATAACACATCACAAAATTAGAACTTAAAAATGATGTGGACTTTTATTTCTTAATTCCCAATATGTCTCCATCCTCAACAGTCTGGCTGTATTTCTCCTGTGTTTTATATGTGGGTGACCTTCATCTGTTTGTGTATAGTTTTTCTTAGCCTAAGAGTGTTTATATACCCTTGTATTCAAGTAAATTTGGACAAATTGAAAATGTCAGTCACTCTACAAAACCTCAGAAGAGAGTAAAAATACTCTTTTTAAGAGGTAAGTGTATTTAATAATGGTATAGTGGACTTTTAAAAATTTATAATTTAGACAGTGTCTCTCCCTTGAGAGTGTAAAGTCTTCAGTAATTTCTCGTTTATCTTTTCCTAAGGCTTCTTGGGCCTGCTTTTGACTATGATTCCTGCCTTGTTCTTTTAAAATTCAGAGTAATAGAAGTGGGCCCTTCTCTGAGTAACCCTGCTTTCTGCCATAGATAAAATGACAAGTCTGAAAGTTCTGCTGAGCAGATGTTCAGTTAATTTTGGAGGCACATCTGTCCTTTGAAAGCCCTTCTGGAGATTTTCACACTTCCTATAAGTATATTCTACAAGGGGAAATGGGAAACTGATGGATTGGAAGGCAAATCTGGAATAGCCCAAGAAGGTATGGGTGCACAGGAGGATAAATAGCTTTTTGGTTTTATCAAGGAATTGTTGGGGCCCAGGCTTCTAGCTCACAGGGTCAGGCCATATGTAGAGGCAGCTGCTGCAAGAGCCTTGGTTGGACCAAACCCCAAAAGCATTGCTTGGCACTAGACATCCCAGACATTGGGGAGGTAGAACAGGAGGGAAGAATACTTGCAAACATATAAGTGTTCCAGGCACACCAGTTCCATGGCAGCTGAAGTGGAGCAGGTCCAAAGGAGGATGTGGTAGGGACAGCTGTCATTAAGCCGCATTCACATTGACCCTCTAGACTCTCTGGGATTTCTCCAGAGTTCTTCCATCCCAGTTTGGCTGTACATTGGCTCAGCAAACTAAGACATCCTACCTGCCTTTGGTGGTATCTCCCACGCGATAGTGTGAATGTGCTAGTGGGGTATAGATTTTGCACCCCCCAAACATGCAAGATACCATGAAAGGTAGGAAGGATATGGTAAAGAGATGAACCAGAAATGTTCTTTGCCCTCAATGAGCTGGCTATCTTGTGGGAAGATAGATGAGGGAAGCAAGTCTGAACTAACAGATGGTGTGCATTTAGAGTCAACAAGGAATAGAGACAGTAATTCTGACTGGGCGCTCCCTGGAGGAGGTGGCATTTGACCGGGGTTTCGAATATTCGGAAAATTTGGATGGACAAAGAAGACAACGCAGCAGATGTTCCAAGCTAGAAAGTACAACGAATATAGCGTATTCCCCATTTCCTACCATACATGAGAGAAAATTAAAATAAGAATTGATCAATTTCCCCACAGACCTGGGGGCTAGAGACGGAACCTTTTTCTTTTCCCTGGGGCATAGGATTATCGCTTTTCAAGATCATTAAGTTAGAGTTGTGTGGGTCTAGGTTGTCACCGTCATTGGAAGCAATAATGTATTCTCCACCTTTTCATGGTAAGTGCCAGGTTCTTGTCCTTGTTGGGGCATCCCCTGGACCACCAGATACAGACTGACTCTAGTGCCTGCCTTCCTTGCCAAGTGAGCAGATTACATGCCCGCGTGTAAAATGCTTTTCACGCTGGTCTCCATGTGGCTGTTTGAGATTTTATTCATTTTATACACGTCCATCTAGCACCAGAGAATGCCATCCTCTTCAGAAGGTCAGCAGTTAAATTTTAAGTCAGTTTTGAGTGGAGATAAAATGCTTGTTCTTTTGCTGTTTGAGTAGGGTAACACGCCCTGTATCTAGGCTGGACGAGAGTTCAGAATTTGCACCCTGTATCACAGCAACTAGGGGAGGGACAGGGAGCTCAGTTCTGCTGTTAATGCAGCGGCGGTAGCCCCTCTTGGTGCTACCTGAAAGGAAAGCCAGCCCTGGGAGTGGAGATGAAAGGGGTTCCAGGGAGAGGTGAGCAGAAATGGGCAGGTTGAGGTTTCGCAGGAAGCTCTCAGCTGAACCCTAGCAAGGAGTGGGCTCGCCTCCAGCCCTGCCCCTGTTCCTGAGGCTGTTTCCAGAAGCTGCATTCAGCCCGGTTTACACAGTGGTTTTACTGAGATGCGTGAGGAACATACCCTCTCTCTGTCCTCCTCCTCGAATCCTGCTGCTCTCTTTCCCTCCCGTCCTGCCAAGAGAGGCGTCCTGGCTCTCCCTAAGTCTGCCAGGCCTTTTCCATCCACCCTTCCTGGGCACAGGACAGCTGACCACAGGGTAAGGGTAACCTGTTCAGCAAGTGACTGGCGCCCGAGGTACCTCTGTGTTCTGTCTGCGAGCTCCCTCTCACCAACTCCAGCTAACCTCTCTTCCTTCTGCCTCTTCTCTTCTGCTAACCTGCTTGCTGACCTGTACAGACGAACTCTACCAGCAACTTGAGCAAAACCGCCGCCTAACTAACCAACTAAAGCTGGCCCTGAATGAGGATTAAACTTAAGTGGGAGAGAACCTGGGCTGAATTCTAGGAACGCAGCCCATGGGCAGGAAATCTAAGACTGTCATACCTTCACCTAATAGGGTTGAAAACGATTCCTTTCTGCAGAATTGAACATGAATCAGTTGAAAGGCTGGCCTTGCCTGCATTTTCCTCTCATATCTGGAATAATTAAGTTCTCTTTAATCCCCAAACCGCTTTTATGGTAAAATTACATCTGTGTATATGGATCAATGTTTATAATCAATTCAGCACTCGTCTTTGCAAGAGCAGGTCCTCTTGTTTGAGCTGATACATAATGAGGACCAAAAAAATGTTTTCTATTTCCTACAGAGAACTGAGTCTTGCTTTAAGTTAGAAAGCCAAAGCAGAGGGGTGTGTATGGGTATAAGTATATATATATATATATTATATATAGGATGTGATATATATATAATATATATTCCTATTACATATTCATATTTCTAACTTCTAAGTATCTGGTATAGTGTTTGAAATATGATTACCTATGCTTGGGCAAAATAGCTTTTGAAAACAGGAGTTCATGTCAGAAGTCCCTGATTGTCTGAAAGGTATGCTTTTTATTCAATCTAACAGTGTTGTTGGATTCTGGTGAGAATGTCATGCTAATAATAAATAGAACACTGTGAAAATAATAATAAGAGAATGTCCTACTGGAGTGTGCATGAAACATGTTGGTAATTTTTTTTTAATGAGTAACAGAAATAAATCATTGAAAAAGTTGTCAGAAAGCCTATTTACGTCATCTTTGTTTTCTGTGAGACTGTGTTACAACACAACTCTCAGACCTTAACTGCCTGTAACTCAGAAACGTCTGCTGTTAACTTCAGTGCTGCAAGCACCTCTCCCTGTTCCCACGGCACATGACCAGTGAACCTTCACCAACCCCACCTGCATTTTGTCCTCAGTGGATTGTTGGTGGAGGTTCACCTGGCCACTCTGTGAGAACCTGCTGTGCCTGTAGTTCCTTCGGGTCCAAGACAGCTTCCCCTTCGTAGGTCCTTGTCTGGAAATGAGTAATGTCTTATGAGCATGCCTGGCCCTAATCATCTCATCCTGTGTTTGTGATTGATGTTTGCCTGCCTAAATGTACAAACCACTACTGTGTCCAAAGCGCAGCTATTCATGACTTAATTTTCTAATCCCACCACAGAGAAAGTGGCTCATGCCAAAGAAGAAAACCTTAGTATGCACCAGATGCTGGATCAGACTTTACTGGAGTTAAACAACATGTGAAAACCTCCTTAGCTGCGACCACATTCTTTCATGTTGTTTTTGTTTTTTGTTTTGTTTTGTTTTTAAACACCATGCTTACCATGAAACCCCTTAAATGCATTTTTATTTACTTTTACCACTGTCACAGATACATCCACAAAGAAGCAGCTAGATCAGGGGTGGGAAAGACACACACACAGGCAAGCCCGTGTCAAGGCGACAATGATTTAAATGTGCCATTTCCCAAGTTGACGTTGCCACACTTCGTAGAGAGTAGCAACACAGTATGCTTAGCCCAGGAATCCTTGCTGAAGCAGGAAGATTTTTCACTCAAAGTGCCAATGATACGTGAACAGGAAGATTAATGTTGGAAACACAATCAGGTGTGGATTGGTGCTACTTTAAACAAAAGGTCCCACTGTGGTCTTTCATTCAATGTTGTACAATTTAGAATTCTGTCCAACACTAATTTATTTTGTCTTGGGTTTAATGATGAGGTGAGACTACGGATCCTGTCTGGCAGAATTCACCAAAGCCAAGGGTTTGTAAGCCAACGTGCTCTTCTAAGGCTTCTGTTTTCTTTTAATTGGCACATTTGCAGTTCGTTACAGCTCGTGGGATAGCATGCGATGTGGATTTCCACCATGTTCAAGTGAAAGATTTAGGCACCACGTACAATGGTGAAGAAAAAACATTGTCTTAAGAGTTATAACTGTATGGAAACCTTGTATAATGATATGGAATAAATGCACATTGTAGGACATTTTCTAAATGGGGTGGTCCTGTCATTTGTACGTTTTTACTTTGTGAACTTTAGATCGTGTGATCGACCTACCTTCCCTCACACATGTTTCTTAAAGCAAATTAATATCCCAATGTCCAGGAGGAAATTGGGTTTCATGTGGCATCCTCCCAGAAGCACTCAAGCCAGCATCCCTTTTGTCTGTTAAAGTTACAGCCAAGCAGCAAAGGACACTTTCCAAGTCCAAGCCTTTCTCCAGGTTATGGGTTATATCTGCATGTACATACATGTAGACCTTTTGCCATGCCTCTACTTGCTTGGGGATTTTTCCTCAATTCTTAGCTAAGTCTCTAGTAGTGGCAGTCATACACATCAGCAAATTGTGGGTTAATGCACCAAATGTGTTGTCACCTAGCAGTGTGATTCTACTTCAAAGTAGAAGTAAAGGGTCTTGGTGGTTTTCTGCTTTCTAACACATGTTGAGTTCTAAATTCCAATACATCTTCTTTTTATTGGACTTGGAAACTGAAAACATCACAGGTCAGTCTTAAAGACGTTAGACAAACAAAAACATTACAATATTACTACAATATTGTACAATATTAGTTGTACAACATTACAAAAACAGATTACAGTATTAGTTGGCTAAACTTGTGCTACAGCAGAAAAAAGAGACGTTCCCATGAAAAGCGAACACAGTAAAATGGAAATAAATTCATTTGGATGCATGGATATTTTCAGTGAAAAGGATTCAGTATCTCTGTAGCTGTTCTTCCACACCCTTTGATCAGGTATTAGGTTGGCCAGAAAATGCCTTCAGTTTTTTTTTTTTGTTTTTTTTTAAAGAAGATGTGGGGGGGTAGGAGTTTTTATTTATTTATTTTTGCTGTGTTGGGTCTTCGTTTCTGTGCAAGGCCTTTCTCTAGTTGTGGCAAGCGGGGGCCACTCTTCATCGCAATGTGCGGGCCTCTCATTATCGCGGCCTCTCATCGCGGAGCACAGGCTCCAGACGCACAGGCTCAGCAGTTGTGGCTCACGGGCCTAGTTGCTCTGTGGCATGTGGGATCCTCCCAGACCAGGGCTCGAACCCGTGTCCCCTGCATTGGCAGATTCTCAACCACTGTGCCACCAGGGAAGCCCGCCTTCGGTTTTTTAACTAAAAATAAAAGACATTTTTCATTTTCACCAAGAACTTTACTGAACAGTGTATGCACCCTTTTGTTCCACTGCCTTCCGCCATTTTTCAGGCAACTTCATAATTTCATCTTCCCAAAACTTTGTATCTTTTTGAGCAAAGAACTGTTCCAGATGCCTTTTACAGTCTTCCAGGGAATTGAAATTTTTTCAAATTAAGAGAATTTTGTAAAGACCTAAATCAATGGAAATCCGAAGGTTCAATGTCTGGTGAACATGGCGGATGAATCAGAACTTCCCAGCCAAGCTGTTACAGTTTTTGCCTGGCCATCAAAGAAACATGCAGTCTTGCATTATCCTGATGGAACATTATGCGTTTCCTGTTGACTAATTCTGGACACTTTTCGTTGAGTGCTGCTTTCAGTTGGTCTAGTTGGGAGCGGTACTTGTTGGAATTAATCATTTGGTTTTCCGGAAGGAGCTCGTAATAGAGGACTCCCTTCCAGTCCCACCATCTGCACAACATCACCACCTTTGGATGAAGACCGGCCTTTGGTGTGGTTGGTGGTGGTTCATCTTGCTTGCCCCACGGTCTCTTCCGTTCCACATTGTTGTACAGTATCCACTTTTCATTGCCCATCACAATTTGTTTTAAAAATGGGATGTTTTCTTTACGTTTCAGTAGAGAATCGCATGTGGAAATAAGGTCAAAGAGGTATTTTGTCCTTAACTTACGTGGAACCCAAACATCAAAGCGATTAACATAACCAAGCTGGTGCAAATGATTTTCAGTGCTTGATTTGGATATTTTGAGTATGTCAGCTATCTCCTGCATGGTATAACGTTGATTGTTCTCAATTAATGTCTCGACTTGATTGCTTTCGACTTCAACTGGTCTACCCAACCGTGGGTCATCGTCTAGCGAGAAATCTCCAGAACGAAACTTCGCAGACCACTTTTGACACGTTCGATCAGTCACAGCACCTTCTCCATACACTGCACAAATCTTTTTTTGCATTTCGGTTGCGTTTTTACCTTTCTTGAAATAATAAAGCATAATATGCTGAAAATGTTGCTTTTTTTCTTCCATCTTCAATATTAAGATGGCTACACAAAAAGTCACCAATTTTGATAAGTGTTTTTTTAAATGCACGCTGATATGACAGCTGTCACATACAGTCTAACAAAATTGTTTTGAATGAAGTTAAAGACAACTAAGTGCTACTAGAGCCATCGTATGGGAAAAAAAACGAATGAACCTTTGGCCAACCCAATATTTTCTCTCCACAGACCCAAAGAGAAGCTTGGCGGCCAGGTTACAGTTCCCACCTCTAAAAAGCTGTCCTTTTTCTCAAGGCAAACTCTGCATCTTGGCCTTCCTGCATCTTCACCAGCCCTGGGCACTTCCCTGCCCATCCTTAGCTAGACAGAGATGCCCCCTGCCTCACTAGTCAAAAGCTCTCCTACACCCAGCATCTTTTCACTTTGGGAGCCAGATCTGGCTTCACTTTTCCTAGCTGCCTAGCCTGTCGAGTCCTTAAATCTGAGATTCTTCTTCTATGAAATGGGCCCTTAGCTCACAGGTTATCATCGTGGAACTGGAATGTGTGACCCAGGTGATAAGTACACAGCACAGCACGTCGGGCACGCTCGATGGCCCTTCCTGCTGTTGCCCTCAATGTGCCGCGTGTGCCATGGAGACCAACACGGAAGACTTGGGGAAGCTGGGACAACACTAACTGCCCCATGTGGCAATGATTGTTATCAGGACTATTCTCAGATACCCTGTGCCAGAACCTGTCATAAGCGCCTTACTGGTGTTATTTTAGCTTCACCTCAGTCCCGTTTCACTTACACAGAAACAGGCTCAGGGAGGCTGAGGAAACCTGCTCACAGGTCCAGAGCTCCTGAGTAGCGTGGGCTGGCGTCAAAGTCGGGCCTGTGTGACTCCAAAGCCCTGTTTGGATTCTTCTTCCAAAGCAGCTCCTGGGCATGGGTAGAACCAGGTGAGGCAATGGGTACAGTTGGAAGAGGAGGAGGCTGGGAGGCTGGAGGTTGAGTCAGCTTGCAGCTGCCATGACCCCAGTGGGTGGTTTAAGGCCTCACTTCCTCCCTGGGTTCCAGGGACCAGATGAAATCAATGGATTACTACAGCATCATGCCAATTCGGAGAATTGTTATTACCTGATCGTTCTGATACATAGAAAAGGGAGAACGCCCTGTCCCCATGGGGCGCACAGCTTAGGTCAGACCCAGTGTGATCATCTCCGAACACGGGAGAGCGGTAAAGGCTCTTCAGTGTGCAAACACCGAGGCTGGACGCTGATACAGTCACTATTTAGAAAACCGTGTAGTACAGGCAAAGCAAGATTCATACTCTAAATTCGTTGCCAAGACTTAGCAGGCCCAGATTTCAGAATGAACAGCTGGGGACGTTGCCTTGTTCAGTGTAAAACATTGTGGAACCCCACAGAGAAAGGGTACAGGTTAAGGATATAAGCATCTTCCAAAAATAATTTTGTGATGAGAGTTCTATGATCTCTTATTAAGGAAAAAAGAAGAGCACTTTTGTGGATACATTCTGAACTTTCTGACACTGGCATTGAAGAGAACAGTTCTTACTGCTCCTAGAGCTATCGCTGGCAAGAACAAAATCTAATTTTTGTGTATGCTGCTATGTATCCTCCAGAGTTTAATACTTTGGGCCTGATTTTTATTTTTCTTCTTCAGGAAAAAAGGGCCTTTTTCACTTGAACAAGTACTTGAGTCGGTGTTAACCATTTTTTCACCTCGTCAACGCTATTTGTAAATGTTATTTTTAAAAAGGTCTGTTGTCACATGTACATACAGAAAAGAAATCTGAATTCTCCAATCAAAATCCTGGGGTGCTCAGGGAGCCATCATTTCCAAAATTGGAGACGGGTTTGGAAAGAAATTGATAGAAATGGCAGGCAGTACAAGAGACGTTCCTTCCATTTTATACACTTTTTGACACTGAGGTTTTCAGAGCTACATTCCTCCAACAGAATTCATAAATTTTGTGTGTCAAACAATGAATGAAGCTATGTTGAAGGCTCACTAATGTGAATGCAACTTTTGCCAAATTCTTGACAAACAGGCATCGACCTGAGGATAAGACTGGTTGCTGCTGCCTGTGAGCTTTCTTTCCATCTGTTACCAAGGCCGTGGAGAACAAAGGGGCGAGTCAAGGCCTTATCAGGGCCTGCCAAGGCTGGTGCCTTAACTGAAGTGCTGATTCGGAGCCGGAAGGAGGCTTATCATCGTCAAGGCTGGAGAGTTGGGTGGCTTGCTCAAGGTCACCGTCTGCTTGAGTTCAACCCCAGTTCCCCTTCAGGGCAGGCAGCGCAGTGGGGCTTGGAAACCAGAGGGGCCAGCTTCAGGCCCTCCGCCACTCACTGTGTGACCCCAGGTTAATTTTACCATTTGTGCAGCAATTTCTCCATCCTTCAAGCAGATGGTTTGCCTGTGCACTTCCTCTAAGGCAGAGAACTAAACGAGGTGATGATGTATGTAGTCTCCCCACCTCCGCCCTGCCTCTGCCTCCAGCCCCTCTTCTGCTCCTTAGCCCTGAGCCTTTTTTTCTCCCTGCGTTGGGTCCTTAGGGAAACTGAAGGTAACTTTTTTCCTTTTGAAATGAAAGAGACCATTCATGGCTTTGCAGTGGTATCTCACACATAAAATGCATTCTCAGTACGTTTGTTGATTGGCCCAGACACAAATGCTCAAGTAACAGTTGCCACATGGTTAATCACCTGTGCACAGGGGTGAAGAATGTTTCAAAGTAGTAGATTCACATTTCATATTTAAGCAAAACACTGGCCCTTGAAAATAAGTTTCTGTTGCTCCGTTTCTTGCATTTGGATGCGTTGCTGAGT